CAGGATTAGGTCTGTTTCTCAGATAAAATAGGTAAAAGGTTAATTATATTTGGATATCAAATATTTGCAATATGTACATGTCAATCTGATATGGTTCATCTGACCTTGACTTATTATCATGTTTCATTGGTCAATGTAAGTTTTTTATTAGGTCTGTTTCTAGGGTGCTCTTAGGAAATGGTCAACTATGTTTGATAAATGGATTGAAATTCAGGTGTACATGTCTGTCTGACAGAGTTCATTTTATCATAATTCTTATATGATTTGCATATCTACAGATACTTAAATTTGATTGGTCCTTCAGCATTTTTTCCCTTGGTTTACACTTCAAAAGACCATGTTGCCGAAACTATTTTCGTAACCTTTTTCATTGTGATCTATTCATGCGCGATACAGATGCATTGGATCAAGGTGTTCAAGCAAATTGAGATTGAAAAAACAAATGTATAGCTGTTATTTTTATTCTAATGAATAATAAAAAGAAATATACATTAAAGCTTGGAAAATGTGTAAATTTACAATAAAATAAAATTCTGCGAAATTTCATGAATGAGCTTGGCGCATTAACGTCATGGGAAAACTTGACGTCATACGAATGAAAACTCTCAACATGAACATTATTCCATTTCAAGTAAGCTTCAAATTTAAACAATATCTCATTAAAATGAAGTTGTTGAGGTAGGTGTTATTTCATTTTAGATTCTATTGCATTAATCAAATATTAATGGATTTCAGAAAGTCAATATGGCAGCTTACTCCTTAGTTACGAAATGTCAGTTGTGCATTTGATGGTAAATAGTAGCCAATGTACCTAAAATTGTTAATTAAAAATTGCAAATGTTTGGATTAAGAATTATAAGGATTAAACACATTTTTTCTAGAAGTTATTGATGTGTAAACTGGGTTGCTGACTCACAAACTTTACAGTAAAGTCCTTTGTTTTATTTAGTTTGTGAGTTAATCGCCCCAGTTTACACAGCAATAATATCTAGAAAAAATGTGTTTAATCCTATATTAACCTCATCTTCATGGTTCATTGGTCAACATTAAGTTTGGTGATAAGGTCCATTTCTCAGATACTGTAGATAATAGGTCATCTGTATTATGTGTATCAAAAGATTGTAAGGAATATGTTACATTGAAAAAAGACTGTTAAAGAGAGATTATATGGCCCTGTCCCCTAAGTAAGGTTCATTGTCCTTGAATGTTTTGCATAGTTTACATGTTTTAAGTATTGCTTTTTTAATTTCAACATTTCCATTATACTATCAAAATTAAATACAGGCGAGACATATCTCTGCGTCAACAGTTTATTTATGAAAAGATAAGGACTGTGAATTATAGATGCAAAATATAGATTCAATTTCTTCATTTACTTTTCCTAAATGTTTCTTTCCTTCTTTATATTGATCAGTGTCTTAGGCTTATGTGGTAAAAGGTGTTACTTCCTGTTTATGTGGTCAAAATATCATCTCTTAATTAATATGTTACACAGGAGCACTTAAGTACTAGACATTTTCTTGGAAACATACTATCCCATACAAACATATGACAAAGCACCCGGAAAAAATAGATCTATCAATCATTGGCAATGTTGAACTCTTCTTTAACCAATCAAATGTTATTTAACAAATTGACATTGATTTATAATGTTATTACGTTTTTCCAGACCTGACAATCATTTCACTTATAGCTATAAATCCTTTATGTCTGTATTTTATTCATCATAAACTTGTAATTGAACTAAAGTGGGGGATACATTTAATATTGTTTTCTTTAATTGCATGTGATGGAAAAGATTCTCCCACGCTGTCATTTGTAGATTTTACGACTTTAATAATGTGTCACCTTTAATATTTTTCATGACAACCATCAGTTTCCTGGTTGTAATAAGTAGTAGAAATTGTTTTCATGCTTTTATATGAAATTATCTGCTGTTATGAGTATTACTCCTTTCGATTTTTTTTAATTTTCTAATGTCATGTGGGCCATACATTTTAATACTTAATGATAGTTATGATTATCAATGCAACTATTCAGAATATGTAAAAGTGTGTAGTAGTATATGGGATAATTAATATTGATTCATACTCATTTTTTTTTTATAAATTAAACTATAAATCATAAAGTTAATATTTTAAATCATTACATATTAATACATTCATGATTCAATATACAGAAGGTGTAGTTTACAACTCTCCAATTAATGGTGGGAGCCTTCAAATTTTTGTTTTTTTTTTGTTTTTTTGAAAATTTGAAATACATAACCATATAAGATTAGTCATATTTTTAATATAGAAAAGAAACAGCTCCATGCCAAATTTAAGTTTACACAAAAATATTTCAGTTAGTGTAAAAAAAAAAGTTAAATTAATATATACCTATTCAAGTTTGATTTTTCTGAAATATTCTCCATTGAAAGCAAAAATATTACCACGAAAATTATGTCAAATTTGTATCGCAAACATCTACATATAATTAATGCTGATATATATAGTAACGACATAAAAGTTTTGAATTTAAGTTGATATACATTTTGTAAAACTAGAAAAATTATACATGAAGAAGAATGATAAGAAACTGGAAATATGACAACTTTTACAATGTTATGGGGGGAAATTTTATGAAAACTGTTCCAGAAATTAGTCCATTAGATTACTTTTTTAAATAAAAAACTGTTTTATATAGTGTTTGTATGGGAAAGTTGTCATGTGATCTTCATTTTGGCATGTAATTGTTCTCATAATTGAGAAATCTTTCATGTAAACATGTCTATTTGTTGTTTATTGGAGGTTTTTTTTTCAGCTTTAAAGGACTTGTAGTTACCTTTTCTTTGTGACTTTGAATTCTTTGTAATAAATACAAGTCTTCTTGTACTAATGTTGTGATAAATGCAAGTTTTCTTGTACAAGTGTTGTAGTAAATACAAGTCCTCTTGAATAATGGGCCCTGGTGGCTAAGTGGTCTATGCAGTTCATCTGCAGTTATCTCTTGGCTGTCAACACTGAGGTTGTGAATTCCACTCCTTATCTTGATTGACTAGGGTTGCCTGCCAAAGGTTGAGGATACTCTAATAAAAACTGGCTGCCACAATATAGAGTGTAAAACACTGTCAATCAATTAATCATCTTGACTATGAACAAGTTTTCAATCAATGCAAGTCCTCTTGTACTAGTGTTGTAATAAATGAAATTTCTCTAGTACAAGTGTTGTGATAAATACAAGTCCTCTTTTATAATGGGCATTGGTGGTCCAAGTAGTTCATCTAAAGTTATCACTTGGCTGGTTGTGAGTTCGAATTCGCTAGTGGATGTTTTGTTCCATTCCTATCGTAAATGACTAAGATGCCTGCCAAAGGTTGTGTTTCTCTCATGATACTCCTGCATTCTCAGTCAATAAAAAATTATATAGCCAAGAGTGCTGAAAGTGATGCTAAATCACTCACTTTAACTATTTACAAGTGTTGTAATAAATACAAGTCCTCTAGTACAAGTAATGTAATAAATACAAGTCCTCTTGTACAGGTGTTGCAATAAATATAAGTCCTCTTGTACAAGTGTTGCAATGAATACAAGTCCTCTTGTACAAGTTTTGTAATAAATTCAAGTCCTCTTGTACAGGTGTTGTAATAAGTACAAGTCCTCTTGTACAAGTGTTGCAATAAATACAAGTCCTCTTGTAAAAGTGTTGTAATAGATACAAGTCCTCTTGTACATGCTAATAATTACAAGTCCATTTGTACAAGTGTTGCAATAAATACAAGTCCTCTTGTACAAGTGTTGCAATAAATACAAGTCCTCTAGTACAAGTAATGTAATAAATACAAGCCCTCGTGTACAGGTGTTGCAATAAATACAAGTCCTCTAGTACAGGTGTTGCAATAAATACAAGTCCTCTTGTACAAGTGTTGCAATGAATACAAGTCCTCTTGTACAAGTTTTGAAATAATTTCAAGTCCTCTTGTACAGGTGTTGTAATAAGTAAAAGTCCTCTTGTACAAGTGTTGCAATAAATACAAGACCTCTTGTAAAAGTATTGTAATAGATACAAGTCCTCTTGTACAAGCTTATAAATACAAGTCCATTTGTACAAGTGTTGCAATAAATACAAGTCCTCTTGTACAAGTGTTGCAATAAATACAAGTCCTCTAGTACAAGTAATGTAATAAATACAAGCCCTCTTGTACAGGTGTTGCAATAAATACAAGTCCTCTAGTACAGGTGTTGCAATAAATACAAGTCCTCTTGTACAAGTGTTGCAATGAATACAAGTCCTCTTGTACAAGCTTATAAATACAAGTCCATTTGTACAAGTGTTGCAATAAATACAAGTCCTCTTGTACAAATGTTTTAATAAATACAAGTCCTCTAGTACAAGTGTTGCAATAAATACAAGTCCTCTTGTACAAATGTTTTAATAAATACAAGTCCTCTTGTACAAGTGTTGCAATAAATACAAATCCTCTTGTACAAATGTTTTAATAAATACAAGTCCTCCTGTACAAGTGTTGTGATAAATACGAGTCCTCTTGTTCTTGTGTATGTTAGGTTAATAAAGAAATTTTATCTTGAATCTTTTGCCCATATGTCTTGCTTTTAGTTGATATTTAGTTTGTCCAATATGAAGAAAATGTGATATTTTCATAACTTCTTTAAGGAATACATTTAGATTCATACTTTATTTTTAAATTTATGTCAAAAAGATATTATAATTCAATAGATTATCATAATTTAGGTAAGAATAAAAGAAAACGTTTGGTATATGTTAATGAGGCAGCAACACAAAAAAAAAGAAATTCAGAAATTTTTACATAAGGTTTTCACAATATGCAAGTCACTATACATACAGAAATATATAGATATGTTGATTTCTAAATTTTCCCTGATGTTAATAATAAATGCAGCTTTGAGCTAAGGTTAGTGGTTTAGAAATCCAGAGATGTAATTGATGTTAAGTTGTCTAAAAATTTAGTTAGTCTATAAACCTTATAAATTTTTCAGAGGAAAGCTATAGCTAAAGTTCAGGCCAAAGGTGGTATTGTAAAAGAAAATCCAAATGCAGTCAAGAAGAAAAAGTCTCCTGATGCTCATCAGAAAATCAAGAAAAGAATACATGAAAGTGAGAAACTTTATAATCAAAATTTTTAGTCGGTGGATGCATGTCAATACAGGATTTGATAATGTAAATAATCCTATTTACTGAGGTCAGGTTGAGTTGAGTTTATACGCCCCACCTAGGGGCATTATGTTTTTTGGTCTTAGTGTCCGTCCATCTGTCCCACTTCAAGTTAAAGTTTTTGGTCAAGGTAGTTTTTGATGAAGTTGAAGTCCAATCAACTTGAAACTTAGTACACATGTTCCCTATTATATGATCTTACTAATTTTAATGCCAAATTAGAGTTTTGACCCCAATTTCACGGTCCACTGAACATAGAAAATGATAGTGCAGGGCATCCGTGTACTATGGACACATTCTTGTTTAAGGTTAATTACTCTTGTATAGTTCTACCAAATGTTTATGTAACATACTGATGAAACAGTTTTATTTAATTTGATAAAATAAAAAAAAAATCATGTGAAGTATCAACTTAATGTAATATTCACCCAACTATAACATTGTATTAATATTAATGTAATGTTAACCCAACTATAGACAGAAAGTCAAAACTGAACATCTAAAATAACATACAAAGTTCTTAATAAGGTATTAATCTTAATTGGGATAACTGGTCAGTCGAGAACAATAGAAAAGTAGCTCTTCTTACCAGTTACTAGCATAACAGTCTTAACAAAAACTCTGTTGACTTAAATTTATTTTCAGGTCATGACTTGGAGAATACTGAGCCAACAGAGGAACGTCCTCGGAAGAGATCCAAGCTGCTGGGAAATATTGATGAGAATTCTGCTGAGTTTAAAGAACTAATGAAAGCTAGATCCAAACACACTGGTGCTCTTGCTGAAGTAAGATTACAAATTATACAACTTTTATTATAACCTTGATTTTATTTCATATATCAGTGACAGATGTTTTAAGTTATCATGGTTAAGAACGTTTCTCAAATAATATAAGTAATATGTCCCTCTCGCAAATTTATCTGAGCTTGACCTCATTTTCATGGTTCATTGGTCAACTTTTAGTTTTCTTGCTTATTGCTATTTTTCAGTTAATATAAGCAATAAGTGTATGCAATGATTTTTAGGTAAAAAATGTCCTTCTGGCAGGGTTCATATGACAATAACCTAATTTTTATGGGACTTTTTGTTAAGTTTATGTGATACCTGTTGTGATACCTTAACCTTAAAGACTCAACATAAAATTTTATTATCAGTAAAGCAGGCATAACATTTCAGTATGTGCACTCTTGTTAATTTCAGCCAGACAAAAATATTATTTGGTAAGCAATGTTTTGTTTTTAGGTTAAGTACATTCTAAGTAAAATTTAAGTTATTTAGAAATAAATTAAAGAAATGTTGGGTTTTATAAGTTTGGTTTTGTCATGGTCGCCAAAGCTGGTTACAACCTATGATATTTGTGTACATGTATTATAAGACTTGTTTGACCTATGATGTCTGTCCATTACCAGGTATTGTATCTTTGGTTTGTTGACGATCTCAAAAATATTCTTACAACTATGGATATTTGACTGTGTCCAGGTTTTTTATGCCTCCGCCGTAGTGGAGTGGGCATTAAGTTTTACCCTTGTCCGTCTGTACGTACGTCCATACATCCCAAAGTTGGTTTCCGTTCTCTAACTTTAGTTTGCCTCAACCAAATGTTATGAAACTTATACACAATGCTTATTACCACAAAACACAGATCAAGTTTGAAATTGGGTTCCGTCACGATAACGGTTCTTGAGTTGTGCCCCTTTATAAAAATAAAAATTGCTGAATATTTTGTTCCCGTTCTCTAACTTTAGTTTGCCTCAAACAAATGTTATGAAACTTATAAACAATGCTTACTACCACATAATACAGATCAAGTTTGAAATTTGGTGGCGTCGCTTTTACCGTTCTTGAGTTATGCCCCTTTATATCTTAATATGATATGCAAGCCGGGTATCATCTGTGTCCCATGGACACATTCCATATTTATTTTATTTTTTTTTTTTTTATACAAATGTACACAAAATTAATTAGAACTTCATGAAGCCTAGAGATTATCATTTTTTCTTGCAGGTGGAGGCAGAAATGGAGGATAGGTATTTTATGGTACAAGAAAAGAAAGAAAGATTAGAGGATAAGATGGCCTCCACCATGGAGATTAAAACCGTTGTTTTTACCTGTAAACAGGTAATATTTTTATTAAATTTTGTTTTGTTGTTAATATTCTTTCAACTGCTATCAGCTTTAAAACATTAGTCGATAGGATCTGAAAAGTAGCAGTACCAAGAGAAGAAGACAGCCTCAACTGTCACTAAAAGGAACATACATCTGTTTATTGCACCCTTGTTTAGTAACACAAAAAATACTAGACAATGAAAGACTGAATCAACTCCCTTTAAGCTTAAATCAACATAACTATATTTCTAAGCCTTCAGTTTCACATTGTTAGATTTCTTAACTTGTTTTCAAGGTATAGAATTATAAGTATCCTTTATTTTCATAGTTTTACATTTCTTAACCTTTAGTTTCCTAACATTAAACCTCTAAGCTATCAGTTTTAGGGCAGTATATTTCTTAGCCTTTAGTTTTTGGTTATTCTACTTTTAGAGTTTAGTTTCATGGTATTATTTTTGTAATATTACTTTTTATTCCAAAAATTTTTCTTATTATTATCATATTTCCCTTGAATATTTCTTTTCCAGTGTAAATACACTGCACACAGTGCTAAAGATGAATGTAAAAAACAGAACCATGACATTGTTAAAATACAGACAATGAAACGGTTCTTCAAGTGTAAGAAATGTAACCATAGGACATCCAGCATAGACAAAATACCAACACAGCCATGCAGGTCAGTTTATCAACAAAATTATATAATTAAATACAACCCTATCATTCAATGGCTAAGATATACCTATTATTATTAACATTTAATCTACAATACCATATACAGGAAATATTGTCACCTGAAATATTGAATGCTCCAGAATTTCAATAGTGCTCATTTCTTAAAACATTTTCAGAGAAATGTTAGGGCCATTTGAGTTTTTTTACACTCTTCTGTTATGAATGGAGACCACTTGCTCATAAAATGTTATCATTAAACCGTGTATAAATATCCATTGCCAGAACTAATTGAATAGTTGGTCTGGATCAGTTGAGTGATTTAATAAACCGCTTTATAGTTACAGCATTAAAGCTGTTATTGATTGTGCAGTTTCATTCAGAAAAATATATTGGTAAATTGCAGTTTCCAATTGATGCATTCATTCATACAAATTTGTCAATGAATGTTGCATCTAAAATGAAATGTATACTTTATGGTACATCTGTGGTGAATTTGATGATATCTTCTGATACATGATTGAACTAGAATATTTGTTTTGGGCATTAAAGCATAAGATATAGTTATTTTTGATATTTCTTAGTACTAGTTTTTGAGCTTCATTTGTTAACTTCATATAAATTTAACACTCATTTTTACTTGGACCATGCAGTGTATTTATTCTTTTATTGTCTCCATATGAGTCAGTATGAAAGGTATGATTTTTGTCGAGCCTGCGACTTTTGTCGCAGAAAGCTCGACATAGGGATAGCGATCCGGCGGCGGCGGCGTTAGCTAACTTCTTAAAAGCTTTATATTTTAGAAGATGGAAGACCTGGATGCTTCATACTTTGTATATGGATGCCTCATGTTACGAAGTTTCCGTCAGTCACATGTCCAATGTCCTTGACCTCATTTTCATGGTTCAGTGACTACTTGAAAAAAAAGTTCAGATTTTTTGTAATGTTAAATTCTCTCTTATTATAAGTAATAGGATAACTATATTTGGTATGTGCGTACCTTGCAAGGTCCTCATGCCCGTCAGACAGTTTTCACTTGACCTCGACCTCATTTCATGGATCAGTGAACAAGGTTAAGTTTTCGTGGTCAAGTCCATATCTCAGATACTATAAGCAATAGGTCTAGTATATTCGGTGTATGGAAGGACTGTAAGTTGTACATGTCCAACTGGCAGGTGTCATCTGACCTTGACCTCATTTTCATGGTTCAGTGGTTATAGTTAAGTTTTTGTGTTTTGGTCTGTTTTTCTTATACTGTATGCAATAGGTCTACTATATTTGGTGTATGGAATGATTGTCAGGTGTACATGTCTAGCTGGCAGGTGTCATCTGACCTTGACCTCATTTTCATGGTTCAGTGGTCAAAGTTAAGTTTTTGAGTTTTGGTCTTTCTTTCTAATACTGCATGCAATAGGTCAGCTATATTTGGTGTATGGAATGATTGTAAGGTGTACATGTCTAGCTGGCAGGTGTCATCTTACCTTGACCTCATTTTCATGGTTCAGTGGTCAAAGTTAAGTTTTTGAGTTTTGGTCTTTTTTTCTAATACTATATGCAATAGTTCAACTATATTTGGTGTATGGAAATATTTTATGATCTATATGTCAGTTACGCAGATTTTATTTGACCTTGACCTCATTTTCAAGGTTCATTGCTCAGTGTTAAGTTTTTGTGTTTTCGTCTGTTTTTCTTAAACTATAAGCAATAGGTCAACTATATTTGTTGTATGGAAGAATTGTTAGCTGTACATGCCTGCCTAGCATGGTTCATCTGACCTTGACCTCATTTTCATGGTTCATTGGTCAATGTTTAGTTTACTTGGTTAATGTTAAGTTTATATGACAGTTGTAATAAAGCTTTATATTTAGGACTATCAACATAATATCAATGATTAGTAAAGAAGGCGAGACATTTCAGCGTGTGCACTCTTGTTTAATAGTACATTTTCCTACGTCCAATCTAACAAAGAGGGGGTATACATATAGTGATGCACGTACTCATTTGTCTGTCACAAGTTTCAGGATGGTAATTAAAGTATTGAAAATTAACCATTGTAGTTCATTTTTGAAGGTTTTGACATGTACTGTTCAAAGGTTAGGCTTACCATTAAAGTAAGGTTTTTTTTTAGTTCAAGATGATAATGACAATACCACTAGATTAATTTTCTTTTTAACTAAACACAATGCCATGGACCATTTAATACAGGTCCAGTACAATTTTGTTGGGTTTTGACATTAACCATTTAATAGTAATTGCCTTAGCTACCTTTACAATTTGTATTTTGGATTCTGGGTGATAATTGAAGAACCCCTTGACCAAATCTTTTGAAATTTTAATTTTAGGATGAAAAATTACAGTATCACTTGACCAAAGCTTTTCTTTCTGTTGTCTCAAATAAAGTATAGGATTTTCTAATAAAATGTTGTTATATAAAAAGTAATGTTGTTAGATTTTTGTTGTTCTCAAAATAAGATAAGAAATTCTTGGGACTTGCACAAGAATACCAAGTTTATTCCTCATGAAATTGATTTGAAAAAAAACAACATTTGCTTAATTGAATTAAAGGATTTTATTAGTAGAAGGGATCTGAATCTTGTATCTTGCTAAATCTTGCTTATCGTGTGAATATTTTATATTTAAAATTAGCCCTCTATTTTGCGATTTTTTGATACATCTAAAGTTGAAAACCAATAATAGACACCCCCTTTTTTTGGCAGTACATCATGTAGACAATATTTTGATAAAGTAGATATTTTCTTTAATTTAAATGAATGTGTCATTTTATTGATATCAGTTACAATGTACAAATCTTGCTCTAATTGGTTATATCTGGCTTAAGTAGTATTAAGATAAAACATTTTTTTGTCAAGCCTGCAAACTTTTATGTCTTGAAAGCGAGACATAGTGATCCTAGATTCTGTCGGCGGCATCAACATTAAGGTTCAGGCTGTGGTTAAAGTTTTTTAAGACATCAATTACTTTATCTAAACCTTCATGGAATTTTATAAAATTTGGACAGAAGCTTGTGTTTGACCAAAATACAGTATCCAGAGCAAAATTTCTGTATTTTATTGATAAATGGATTTTTTTTTTTTTAAAGTTTGCATTCAGATTTAGTCTGAGGTTAAAGTTTTTCAGTCATCAATAACTTTGTCAAACCTTCATGGAACCCCTTACAAGTTTTTGAGTCTTAGAATATAAATAACCTCTGGAACTACCATTTACATGCATATTGGTTGATTGCCATATGACAGTTGATGAAATTCTTACTCTTGAGAATTTTTTAATGTTTATAGCACTGAAGGCTGGTCTTCAAAACAGCACTATGTGACACAGGTCCAGACATAGTTTTGGCCTTGATATAATTTTGTTGTATAACTGATTCTTATTACAATTGTAAATTTTATTATTATCATTATATTTTTGTAGGAATTGTGGTGATGATAACTTTGAGAGAGTGTCAATGCTACAAGTAAGTAAACATTTGTCAGTCAATGTCTTATATAGAGATTTATTGAGTTGAAGCAATAACATTTTAGCAAAACTTGCCACCAAAAGTGCTTTCTTTTGACATTCCGATAGATTTTGATAACTGAATTATGTCATAGAAACTTTGACCATTTAAAGTCTAGTGTGCAATAAGGATACTTTGTGAACACAACTCCTTGTAGACTACTTTCATACTTGGAAGGGGTTGTTTGTCATTGTATGTGGTTGACTATACTTTACCTACCTATTCAATTAACCTGATAATCCTAAAATTATTGTAAATGAATAAATTCAAGATTTTTTTCACAACATTTCTAATCATCTTTCATATATGAAAATTGGGTAAAATACCAATCCCTCAATTAACAGAAGGACCACATTTGATGAAATGCAAAGATACAAAAAGTCTACTGTTCAGACAATTATATTCCACAGTTAGACAGTTGTGGGGGACATTTCCCTATGGCATAGCAATCTTGTTAATCTTTTTACTAGTCTACAAATCAGGAAACCTTTGTCCTCAAAAAAAAGTTACAGTCTTTTTCTTAATCGTTAAAATATAAATACAATAATCTTTCAGATGCCTTCGAAATTGATTTCATGACATGCCTTGAGGTCCTATGGGGGCTGAAAATTTATTGTTGTATCAGTAGAATTAAATGTCAGCAATATCATGACTTAATTGAATGATTATTGGACACAATAATTCATTTTTGATTTCAGGAAAGAAAAGGTCCCAAGCTTCCTCATGAGGAGTTATGTATACGTGGAGATGAGATCAAATTTCTTGGATCTATGGATGAAAAAGTTTATCTGTAACATTGGTATGTCGTTTAATCATTTATGCTATTAGGCTTTTCTAACTCATTCACAATTTTTGGTAATCCTGGATGAATATAGCAGAATATGAGGGATGCGTATATAGAAAAGCTAGAAAATTTTTTTTTTGATTACAGATAATTTATGGTCTTAAGTTTCTTTCTGACAAATGTCCATTGTGCTTGACCTCTTTTTTGTGGTTCAATGCCTGCATACTATCCAGAAGTTTTTTTGTCCCCTGCCTGATGTGTTGCAGGGGATATAGAAATACTGGGCATACGTCTGGTCTTGTTAGAACTCTGACGTGTACAATTCTTGCCAAATTTTTTTATAAAACTTATATATCATAGGTTTTTACCAGCAATGTCTTTAACAAGTTTGAAAATCAGTGCCGATGAATTATTTTTAAAAGAGTTATGGGCTTGGAAATATTGACATGGAAAATTGCATTGTTAGCGCTCTCACGTGTACAATCCTTGCAAAATTTTTATGTACTTATATCATAGGTTTATATCAGCAATGTCTCAGACAAGTTGGAAAATCAGTGCCTTTCAAGAGTTATGACAATTGGAAATATTAATTATATGGGAAATTGCATTGTAAGCTCTTTCACTTGTAGAACTCTGACATGTACAATTCTTGCCAAATTTTTTTATAAAACTTATATATCATAGGTTTTTACCAGCAATGTCTTTAACAAGTTTGAAAATCAGTGCCGATCAATTTTTTTTAAAAACACTATGCCCCTTGGAAATATTTATTTTATGGAAAATTGCATTTTAAGTGCACTCGTGTGTACAATTTTTGCCAGATATATATTAAATTCATATCAAAGGTTTATGTCAGCAATGTCTCTGACAATTTCAAAAATCAGTGCCCATCAACAATTTTAAAAGAATTATGTCCCATGGAAATATTAATTGTATTGAAAATTGCTTTGTTAGAGCTTTCAAACTTTCATTTCTTTAAGATATTTATAAAAAGTTTTTAAAGAACAAAAATAATTTTTTTTAGTTATTGTCCTTGGACAGATAAAATATGTGCAAAGGTGGGTAGATGGAACTCTTCTTTTATTATTACAAGATTTTTTTCGGTTCCTCATCTCTTTGTTCAGTGATCCTAAACTCTCCATCATTAGGTCAGTTTTTCAATAACCATTCGTAAAAGGTAAACTATGTAGGCACTACCAATTCAATACTTACAAAAACTTAGAGGAATTGTGATTGGGAGATTTTCTTTAAAGATTTTTCATTTTATGCTGATAAGGTGGCATACATGATGGCTGTTTGAGCAATATGATTTATATCTTTCCTTCAGAAGCTTTTTGATAATATTTTAATAATTATGGCTAAGTAATATTTGAAATTTATTTAATCTTTGTGTGTGTGTATGAAAAATTTTGAAGCCAAAGGAAATTCTTCAAAAAAAAAATGTAAATCTTGAAGGAAATGTAAATATAAAGTTCATGACCTCTTAATTTCATTTTGGGGTTTTTATTTCTTCAGGGTACTGACTCATTAACATTCCCTTATATTTATGATGTTTAATGGAATAATAATGTAGTGGATTGGTTTAGTTTATAATGTCAGTGCAGTTAAAAGCCAGAGGATTGATACAAGCTTCTTGGAATCTGTAGATAAAATGTCATATTGTGACTAATGTTATTCAGTTTTGATTTTGACATTTTCATTCTACTAATGATTTGCATGGGGGACAAATTGGTAACATTTCAAGTCAAAGTCAAATAATTAAAAAAGAATTGCAATGCTAAACAGCATTTAATGTTTGCAGAAAAGCAGTTGTTAGAAATAGATGACCTTCTTTCCACAGTTTTTAACATTTTAATTGTAGTGTAATTGAATGTTATTTGTGATTGCTTGACAGGTTCTTGAAGAATTTATTTAATTGTAACACAAAATTCAATCTGTATGTTTATATGATTCTGGAAATGAATTTGTTTCCTAGTTCCCAATTATTTCCTTCAACGACCATTCTGATTTTTAATAAGTTTGAGTGACTTTTTGTGGGTGTTAGATGTTTTTGAAATCTCAAGGAAAAGTACTATTAAATATTAGGGCTGTTCCAATATTGATCGTGGTGGGAGGTATTGGAGGTACTTTATTCAATAAATTGTGGGTGGTTGCATTTTTCTTATAATATTTGTAATAATTATAAGTAAAATGAAAATGTTATTTGATGGGTGGTTGAGGTCTAATAAAAGTGCCTTCCATGCCCCAAGAATTTAATACTTGATCAGCCCTTAGAAGAATTAATTGTATAAATAACCATGAGCACTCCTCCTTTTATCCTGATCAGTGGAAAAATCAGAGGCACATAGAAACAAATTTTCAATAAAAAAATCAGTTCTGAAAAAGCACTTAAACTATATTATAATTATTATAGATAACAAAAACAATACAAAATAGTACTGTATCAAGGAAACTGTACAGTTGCTAAAAGCAAGCTCAAAACACAGAACTTCTGATAATAGGGCTCATCAAATATCTATAATCTATATCAGCAGCTGTACTTTCAAGAAGATAAGATACAATCTAAAGGTTATCAGCTGTGCAGAAAGACACCATGTTGTGCAATGCCAAAAGTAATATTTTACAGAATTTCAATACATTTCTGTTTCAAGAAATACAGAATTAAATTAATATAAAAACAATAAAATACTAAATACAATGTATAAACGACAACAATATGACTATTTGACAATGAATAGCTTTTGCATTATCAGTTGTGTAATGATTTAAATATGATTAATTTTTTTTTCAGAATGAAGATCTCATGAAACTTCAAAAGATACTGTTTGAAATTTTTATAGCAAACTTTACAACTAAAACAGTCTCTTGAAAACTATTTAGAATTTTTACAACAAACTTTGCATTTATATTTTCCTATACTTGTACATTTATTAAATCTTATGTTTTAAAGAGTTTGATTGTCAAATGTTTTACATACTTTTCATAAGATGCTAAACAGACTTGTTAAGAATGTGTCTGTCCCAAGTCAGGAGCCTGTAGTTCAGTGGTTGTCATTGGTTTTATGTCTGTCATATTTGTTTTTTCCTAAATTGTTTGTTATGAATTTGGCCGTAAGTTTTCAGTTTTTGGAAAGTTTGCTATAGGTTGCTGTAGCAAAAACTTTCCTAAGGCATTAGCCTCAAACCGGAAGTGACAGACTATCTTACTTTAGGATGTGTGTTCTACTCCTAGATAATGTAGTACTGGTGTTTGACAACTAATTCTAGGAAGATGCTTTTGAAATTTTTGAGTAACTTCTATTTTGATTAGCTTACAGTTTGAATTAAAATGTGAAAATTAAAAAGCCCCGAGTGTATCGAAAGTATCCCGGTATCTCATCTCGGCCCACAACAAACTCGGACTATAATAAACTCGGCCTATTACATAATCGGCACCAGAAAATCGGACTATAACAAAATTCGTAATTATACTACTTGCTATTAAGTCTCCCAAACAAAGTTTGGAGACTTATTGTTTTGCTCAGTTCTTATTATTTTTCTTCTTAAGGTCTATTCAGGGATATTCTGGGGGGCCAACAGAAGGGAGGGATATACTATAGAACCCTATGGGATTTTTTTTTTTAACTTTTCAAATGACTATAACTTGAAAACAGTAAGTCATAGACATAATCGGTTTTCAGTAATGATCACAGGATCATAAAACAAATCAAATGAAATATAGCTCGAGTCCCTCTGGATCAGCCCCACCCCCTCCTGTTTGAGAACTTGTAAATGGTTGAGATCCCCACCCCTAAACCATATATATTCTTGTATGGGACAATTAAACAAGTCAAATGAAATATAGGGGGAGTCCCTGGGTGTCACCCCCATCCCATCTTGTTTTGAGAATTTGTAAACGGTCGAGATCCCCACCCATAAACCATATATATTCTTGTATGGGACAATAAAACAAATCAAATGAAATATAGAGGAAGTCCACAGGGGTCACCCCACCCACCCCCTTCTTTTTGAAAACTTGTAAACGGTCGAGATCCCCACCCCGAAACCATATATATTCTTGTATGGGACAATAAAACAAGTCAAATGAAATATAGGGGGATTCCGTTGGTGTCACCCCCACCCCATCCTGTTTTGAGAACTTGTAAACGGTCAAGATCCCCACCCCGAAACCATATATATTCTTGTACGGGACAATAAAACAAATCAAATGAAATAAAAGGCAAGTCCCCTGGGGTCACTCCCTCCCCCTTCCTGGGAATGACTAATTATGGGAGCTTTGTTTGGGAGACTTCGTAACAGCATCATGTTGCAATTATTTCTTGTATTAAGTAATTTTTTTTTAAAGTCGGAAAAAAGTCAAACAACCAATCTACACAAATACAACCTAAGTTAACATGTATTAGTTTGTGATTAGGTCAGTTCAAGGGGAACCATTTAGGGTAGGCAAATGTTAATAAGTATTCAGTTGTACATCTCATTACCATGGAGAATATTTGGCCCCGCCCCTCAGTCATGGTCTATCGACTTAGAAACTTTTGCTTAGTTTACATGTATTAGTTTGTGATTAGATCAGTTTAAGATGAACTGCTAATGTTAAGTCAACGATATTTGGTATGCAAATTTATTAGCATTTGCAAGTATCGTTTCCATGGAGATTATATAGCCCCACCCCCTCTTCATGGTTCATTGACTTTGAAACTTTTACATAGTTTACAAGTTAATGTTTGTGTTAGGTTTGTTTAAAGGGAACGACTTATAATAAGTCAATGGTATTTGATATGCAGTTGTGTTAGCTTTGGCACATCTCATTTACATGGAGATTGTTTAGCCATGTACCTCAGTCATGGTTCATTGACTTTGAATATTTGCATAACTTAAGAAACATGTTAAAGTATTGCTATTTTAATTTCAACATTTGCATAATCAAAATTACAAAAGGGCGAGACATATCGCTGTGATAACAGTTTATTATACCTTTACTTCATTTTTGTGGCTTTAATGTCTCATTTGAATGCTGAATGCAAAAAAATAGGGATGCTAATCCATGGCGATGGCATAAAATATTTGTAAAAAGCTTTAATTTTCAGATAAAAGAAGAAGAACTGTATATTGGATATCTAATGTTCTGAAGATTCCTTTTGGCATAAATCCGTTGTCTTTCAACTGATTTTCATGGTACAGTGATCCTCAAAAATTTATAGATTTTTGTCTCGCCTGCAACAAAATTTGCAGAATTTCGTTGCGGAAAGCGAGACATAGGGATTGATTTTCCAGTGACAACAACAAAAGACGTTGTCTTAGTTGGCATCAACAATTGTGAAGTTTTCTGCTTAAGTTAGTTTGATAGGAACTACTTGTGATGTATCAATGATATTTTGTATGAAGTTGTATTACTATCAGTGTATATCAGTTTGAAGGCTATTTTGAGGTCTTGCCCCCTTAGCCATGCTCCAGTGACTTTGAATAAATTAGCAATTTTAAATGTTAAGTTTTCTGCTTAAGTTAGTTTGATAGGAACTACTTGTGATAGATCAATGATATTTTGTACAAAGTTGCATTACTATGAGTATATGTCAGTTTGACGACTATTGTGAGTCCCTGCCCCCTAGGTCATGCATGGTCCAGAGCCTTTGAAATAATTAGCAAATTTTCAATGTTAAGTTTTCTGCTTAAGTTTTTTTGATATGAACTACTTACAATAGAAAACAATATTTTCTATAAAGTTACATTGCTTTTGTCAACCATTTTGAGGCCCTGCCCACTAGTTCATGGTCCAGCGACTGAATTAATTAGTAATGTTGCTGTCCATCAAATTTTATTTTTTCTGAATTTTTATGCTGACAGGCAAGACATATCTCTGTAAACAGTTTATTTGTTATGTAATTTTGTCACCGAGTAATAGGACAACATTATTTGGTATATTGAATTATTGCATGGCCATTTGACCTTGACCTCATTGCATTGATCAGTGATTAAGTGGGGTGAAGTGTTTGTCTTTAAGTCTATTGCTCAGATACTATAAGCAATAGTAAACTATTTTGTGAATGAAACAAATGTTAGATTTACATGTTCATCTGGCAGGGTTCATTTGACCCTGACCATATTTTCATGATTCATTTGTCAACATTTAGTTATTGGTTAGGGCAGTTGCTCGAATACTATTAGTCTATATTTGGTGAACGAAAGACCTTTCAGTTTGGCAATGTTCATATGAATTTTACCTCATTTTCATGGTTCATTGGTCAATGCTAATTTTATTGTCGAGCCTGCGACTTCTGTCACAGAAAGCTCGACGTAGGGAGTGTGATCCGGCGGCTGCGTTAATAAACTTCTTAAAAGCTTAATATTTTAGAGGGTAGAAGACCTGGATCTTTCATACTTTGTATTTAGATGCCTTATGTTATGAAGTTTCCATCTGTCATATGTCCATTGTCCTTGACCTTATTTTCATGGTTCAGTGACTACTTGAAAAAAAAGTTAAGATTTTTGTATTCTTGATTTCTCTCTTATTATGAGTAGTAGGATAACTATATTTGGTATGTGCCTACCTTGCAAGGTCCTCATGCCTGTCGGGACAGTTTTCACTTGACCTTGTCCTCATTTCATGTATCAGTGAACAAGGTTAAGTTTTCGTGGTCAATTCCATATCCCAGATACTATGAGCAATAGGTATACTATATTTGGTGTATGGAATGATTGTAAGGTGTACATGTCCAACTTGCAGGTGTCATATGACCTTGACCTCATTTTCATAGTTTAGTGGTTAAAGTTAAGTTTTTGTGTTTTGGTCTGTTTATCTAATACGGTATGTATTGGACAACTATATTTGGTTTTTGAAAATTTTTACGATGTACATGTCAGTCTGGCTTGTTTTATTTGACCTTGACTTCATTTTTACGGTTCATTGCTCAATGTTAAGTTTTTGTTATTTGGACTGTTTTTCTAATACTATAAGCAATAGGTCAACTATATTTGGTGTATGGAATGATTGTAAGGTGTATATGTCTGTCTGGCAATTATCATCTGACCTTGACCTCATTTTCATGGTTCATTGGTCAATGTTAAGTTTTCCTGGTTAAGTTTGTTTCTTAGATACTATGTGCAATAAGTCAACTTTATTTTAAGCATATTTGGTGAATGGAATGACTGTAAGGTGTACATGTATTTCTAGTTTAGTTTATCTGACCTTGACCTTATTTTCTTGGATCATGTTAAGTTTATGTGATAGTTGTAGTAAAGCTTTATATTTAGGACTATCAACATAAAGTCATTGGTCAGTGAAGAAGGCGAGACATTTCAGAGTGTGCACTCTTGTGTGGTTTGGTCCTTTTCAGATTCTATTATCGTAAGGTTAACTATAATTAATGAATGGAATGATTGTAAGGTGTACATGATGATCTGGCAGGGTTCATGTATTCTTGGTTTGGTTCATTTCTCAGATACTATATGCAATAGGACAACTATATTTAATGATGGAATGATTGTAAGGTGTACATGTCTGTCTGGCACTGTTAATTTGACCTTGACCTAATTTTTCATGAAATATTAGTCAATGTTTAGTTTTCATGGTTAGGTCTGTTTCTCGGATACTAAAATTAGTTTTAACTATATTTTTTGCATGGAATAATTGTAAGATGTACATGTCTGTCTGGAAGGGTTCATTTGACCTTAAAATCATTTTCATGGATGATTTATAATGTTTAGTTTATGTTATACTTAGGAGTCAAACCTTTATCTCAGACTTTAACCATAAAAATCATTCATAATCAGTCAAGCATGCAAGATGTTTCAGCGTGCATACTCTTGTTCTTAAAACATTATACAATGGGAAACACTCACTGCACAATTTATCTGGAATAAGTGAGATCTGTGAAGGGTTTGTTTATCATTGACATCAGTTATATCATCTATCTTATAAAAATGCTTTACACTTTTATGTTTCTGTTGAAAGGT